CAGGGACTCTGGACTCCCTCAAAACTCAGACCCCAACTGAAGGATGAGCTTGTGGGTTTCTCCTTTCCTAGACATCACATGTAGCCTTTCTCTCTCCGACTTCTCCATGTTTTCACTGGCCCCTGTGGGGGGTGGAGGTGGGGAGCAAAGCTTCCCTTGGCTCAGCTACACACAAAGACTGAAACCATGTCTGAAGGAGCATTGTTTACCTGCTTAAAAGAATAAAAAGTTTTTAGCACTTTTTCTTTTTAATTAGTGAGAAGTGTATGTTTTTATGAAGGAGCCCTAGTATTGCAGTGCTTCAGCATTTGGCTGATAACCAGAAGGTCAGTGGTTTGAACGTACCAGCCGCTTCGCGGGAGAAAAATGTGGCAGTGTGTGTCTTCACGGATTGCTGTGGTTGTTGAGTGCCACTGAGTCGGTTCCGACTCACAGCGACCCCCTGTACAGCCGAACAAAACACCGCCCGGTCCTAGGCCATCCTCACGATCATTGCCATGTTTGAGCCCATTGTTGCCGCTATGAGTTGGAATCAACTCGACAGCAATGGGCTTTTGGTAATGGGCTTTTGGTATATGTTTTTAGAGGAGCTCTGGTGGCACAGTGGTTAAAGTACTTGGCTGCTAACTGAAAGGTTGGCGGTTCAAATCTACCAGTTGCTCCTCTGGAGAAAGATGTGGCAGTCTGCTTCTGAAAAGATCACCAGCCTTGGGAATCCTATGGAGCAGTTCTACTCTGTCCTATAGGGTTGCTATGAGATGGCATCAACTCGATGACAATGGCTGTTATAGGTTTTTATAAAAAAAAATCCAAACAATACACAAATGGATACAATAAAAAGTAAAAGTCTTCCTTTCCTCTTCCCCTCTCCGCAGTGTTTTCCTGCCTACCCTGCTGAGCTCCTTACTAAGGTGTAGGCAGGCTTGGTTTGGTGGCCAGAAGGCTGGCCTGCAGTCAGAGGGACTGGGCTCACATCCCAGCTCCGCCTTGTACTGACTGTGCGGCCCGGGGCACAAGCCTCAGCTGTAAACTAGAGGAACCGCAACAAAGGCGCGGGGGAGTGTTGAGTGAGATGAGAGACGGAAAGCACTGGGCACAGTGCCTGCACCGAGCTGCCTTTAGTTAGAGAACCTTAGGATCTTCCCGCCAGACACCAGGCATTTTTCTTTTTTTATTGTTGTTGAGAACATACACAGCAAAACGTATGCCAAGTCAACAATTTCTGCACGCACAATTCAGAGACACTGAGTACATTCTTCAAGTTGTGCAACCATTCTCACCCTCCTTTTCCCAGCTGTTCCTCCTCCATTAACATAAACTCACAGCCCCCTAAACTCATTCTCTGACCTTTAAGTTGATGTTGTCCATTTGATCCCATATAGATAGTTCTTTAAAACAGCACAATGCTCAAGGCAAACCAAAGGCGGGCTGCTGTCTAGTCGGTTCCAAACCATAGCCATCCTATGGGACAGAGTAGAACCGGCCCATAGAGCTTCCAAAGGCAGGCTGGTGGATTCGAACTGCCGACCTTTTGGTTAGCAGCTGAGCTCTTTACCACTGCACCACCAGGGCTCCATTCGAGGCAAACATTCTTTACTAATTATGCTCACCTATTGTTTCATTTAAAGAAGACTCCAGGGGGTATATATACATATAAATATATTATACTCGTACTTCGATGAAGGTTCCCAGAGCAAATTAGTTTCTCATTAAACAACTAATAGACATATTGTTTTGTGACATTGGTTGTCAACCCCACGACATGTCAACACTCTCCTCTTCTCGACCTTGGGTTCCCCATTACCAGCTTTCCTGTCCCCTCCTGCCTTCTCATCCTTGACCCTGGGCTGGTGTGCCAATTTAGTCTCGTTTTGTTTTATGGGACTGTCTAATCTTTGGCTAAAGGGTGAACCTCCTGAGTGACTTCAGTACTGAGTTAAAAGGATGTCCGGGGGCCATACTCTCAGAATTTCTCCAGTCTCTGTCAGACCAGTAAGTCTGGTCTTTGTGTGTGTGTGTGTGAGTTAGAATTTTGTTCTACATTTTCCTCCAGCTGTCTATTGTGATCCCTGTCAGAGCAGTCAGTGGTGGTAGCTGAGCACTATCCAGTTGTACTGGACTCAGTCTGGTGGAGGCTGTGGTAGTTGTGGTCCATAAGTCCTTTGGACTAATCTTTCCCTTGTGTCTTTGGTTTTCTTCATTCTCTTCAGGGGATATTTTTGATTTAAGGTTTAAGATTATTTCAGGGCAATCATTTCAGGGGGTTCATCCAGCCTTCATGGCTCCAGAAAATCTGGATTCCATGAGAATTTGAAATTCTGTTCTGCATCCACTCCAGCCTCCTGTGATCAAGATTCTTCTATAGGTTCTTTGATCAAAATGTTCAGTAATGGTAGCTGGGCACCATCCAGTTCTTTTGTTCTCATGGCCAGGGAGGCAGTTGTTCATGGAAGAAGTTAGCTACACATTCCATTTCCTCTTCCTCTTCCTGACTCTCCTTCTTCATCTATTGCTCCAGGCATACAGAGACCAATTGTTGTAACTTGGATGGCTATTTGCAAACTTTAAGGCCCCAAACACGATGAAATGAACTAGGAGGTTGAACAGAAGCACTAAAAATGATATTAAGCCAATTAACTGTGATATCCCATGAAACCATATCCCTCTATGTCCAAATCAAGAAACCAAATCTCACGAGGTGTTTGGTTGTACATAAGCAGGCTCAGCAGCCGCTTTTTTCTTTTCTTTTTTTCGGTAAAAATATACATCACACGACACTCATCAGTTTGACTTTTTACACGTGTGCAACTCGTTGACATCAATTATATTAATCGGCTGTGCAGCTATCACACTTAACAAATGCAAATTTTCCATCACCATACACAGACACTCAGTGCTCCATAAGCCAAAGCTTCCCCTTTCCCCCTCCCTCCCGCTCCTAGTAACCACTAGTAAACTTTGGTCTCTATATACTGGCCTGTCTTGCCTTTTTATATAAGTAGGTCATACAATATTTGTCCTTTTGTGATTGACAGGCATTTTTTTAAATGTCCAATCTCATGCAATGCATATGTTAATTACAGGATGGGTTCAAGCTCCTCAGTCAGTTGATGTGGAACTGTTTTTAAGTCCTCAAGAGCAGTTTCCAGACACAGACAGCACTATTCAGAGGTTTACTTTCTTTTTCAAATTAGCATTCAAGTTATCAAAGTTAAAAATTCACTAGCTGATGCTCTTTATCCTACGTGTTAGCTTATTTTTGATACTGGAAACTAAAAACTCTTTCCAGACTCTCATTATTACCTTCAAAATGTCATGCTTTCTAAGCACAGCTTATAAAAGTTCTTATTCTATTTAAAGTCCAGCTAGCATTGCCAGATGAAATACAGGATGTCCAACTAAACTTGAATGATCTGAAATTCAAATTTAACTAGTGGTCTGTATTTTTATTTGCTAAATCAAACGTAAGTCCAGCAAACTTATACAATTTCTTTTCAGGGAATTCTGTCCCATTTACAAACATGTTTAATATAAATTTAATATACTCTTATTTCTTTTTAAAGTTCTTCAATTGTCTGAACTAACAACAACAACAACAAAACAACCTTTTTGGAGTATGAAATAACTCTTCTAAGTCTAATAAATTAACCTTATAAAACACTACTAATCCAAGGTTCTTGTAAATGTTCCAGAACTGTACATAAACTGAGTAGATGTTACAAGTTCATAAAATCCAAGTACGCACAGACTCCTTCTTGAAACACACAGAAAGTTTATATACATTTCTATACATTTTTGTACTTAATTCTAAATCCTCCTGTGGTTAGAAGATGCCCATTTACCAAACAAGACAATTACCATCCAGTTTACCAGATCTACTTTTTACTAGAGATTTAACCACGCATGAGGTTAAATCGGTTTGCAGACATGCAGGGTAATTCAACGTCAGCATCAGCTCAGGAAACCATGTGTCCTTCCATGTGCTATTTGGGGCAGTCTCCTTAAAGGACCTAGGGGTGTTTGGCCAGAGATTTTGGCCAGGATGCTGACTGAATATAAGGGGATATCAATATTGCACACTGTTCCCTACTTATGGTGCTATGCCAAAAACTCTATCACCCCAAGAGGAGGCGGTCACATAGATCCAAACGCTGGCTTCAACTTACTCTCATGACCTAACCTTTTCCCAGAAGAATTGTCCTTGCAGAAGTCTGTGGATCTCACTTGGATTTATAACTTGATTGCATTTTGCGTTTCTTTTGCTTTCCAGATTTTCACATCTTTCTGCCCAAATCTCTAAAAGTCATTTTACTTGGGCTGAAAATTTTGTAATTCTTGCAAACACTTCCTTTCTCAGAGCCACACAACCCTTTCAAATAATAAAATAATATCAGGTTGAATGGCAGGGGCTTTAGCCATCCTCAGAGTCCAAGGGCATTTTACTGACTTACTCTAGCAAACCAGCAATTGCTCTCCCTGGCAACACACTGCTAGTATTAAATCATGTACACTAAAATTGCCTAAAAATTATGTAATTCAGACTAGACTTGACTTTAATTTACATGCATCAGGCCAGTTAGAGAGTTGGTGCCTGGGTGTGTCCAGGGACAGCTGGCCTCCAAATCCCAGTGATGGCAGAAAACACAGCAGAATTTCCTGGAGCAGCAGGACCCCACTGCTCCCTGCCTCGCTGACCCCTAGCAGAAGGCTCAGTCACCCCCAGAGGGCACCCCAGACCACTTCCAAGTTCACTGACTGCCAGGAACGTCACACAACTGTCAGCCACAGGAGAGAAGATGACAATATCAGAGCTGAAATTTGAGGAACTTTGCAGAGGAGCTACCTGAAGTAGGCAAGGCAATTTTGTCACCAGTGTGATAAAAACGCGCTTCTCAAAGGCTCGCCCATTTCCTTGGGAATGCAACTCATGATCTTTAGTTCCCCAGAGAAGTGAAAGCAGCAGCCAGGAATCCAGTAATTCCTGTTATCTGCAAGCTTTAAAAGTTAGCCGAGCCGAGGAGGTGACAGGCATCTTGGCACTCCAAACGCTGCTGTCTTCTCACCAACTCCTGAATTGGAGAAGCGCCAGGATGTCTCAGCGGCTGCCCACCCTGCTGCTTCTCCTCCTCTCAGTCCACGGCGCCCTGGCCCTGAAGATCTGCTCCTTCAACGTGAGGTCCTTCGGGGAAACCAAGAAAGAAAACAACAATGCCATGGACGTCATTGTAAAGGTGAGCCCCTTTCCTGTCCGAATGTTCACTGAGCACCCCCTCATGCCCTCTCTACAGCTTTCAGACTTTGAGACTCAGGAGGCACTTAGCTAAAGTTAGCTGTTAGGGGGGAAGGTAGGAGCTGGTGTGGAATTTTGTAACAATAACAATGGCAATGATTACTATAACCGCTTCAGCTCTCTGTGCCTCCGAGTCCTCATCTGTAAACTGGTGATAATAACAGTATCTCCTCCACAAGAGCAGTTATGAGGAATACAGGGGTTGGTAAATGCAAAGCTCTTAAAACAGTGTCTGACTTGTAGTAAATCCCAGGTCGTTGTTGTTAGGTGATGTCAAGTCAGTTTCAACTCATAGCGACCCCGTGTACAACAGAACAGAACGCTGCCCGGTCCTGCGCCATCCTCACAATTGTTGCTATGTTTGAGTTCATTGTTGCAGCCACTGTGTTGAAACATCTCGTTGAGGGCTTTCCTCTTTTTTGCTGACCCCCTAGTTTACCAAGCATGACGTCCTTCTCCAGAGACTGATCCCTCCTGATAATATGTCCAAAGTACATAAGTATGTAAAAGTCTCGCCATCCTCCCTTCTAAGAAACATTCTGGTTGTACTTCTACCAAGACAGATTTGTTTTTTTCTCCGGCAGCATAGTATATTCAATATTCGTCACCAACACCGTAATTCAAAGGCATCAGTTCTTCTTTGGTAAGGGTTGGCTATTATAATTCTTATTTCCGTTTATTGAATGCATGTGTCAGGCACTTCAAAGACATGATTTCATGTCATCATCCTCAGGAAGGAGGATTATTATTTGTCATGTAGAAGATGATGAATAATGAAAGATTAAGCAAAATTGTACAGCTAGTGAGTGGTGGAGCAAGGATGGCAGCCCAGCCGGGGCTTACTTTTTATTTTATTTTTTATTTTATTGTTGTGCTTTAAGTGAAAGTTTACAATTCAAGTTAGTTTCTCATACAAAAATTCATACACATACCATTATGTGACCCTAATTGCTCTCCCTATACTGTGACAGCGCACTCCTCCTTCCACCCCTGATTTCCTGTGTCCATTCAACCAGCTCCCGATCCTCTCTGCCTTCTCACCTCACCTCCAGACAGAAGCTGCCCATTTAGTCTCGTGTATCTACTTGAGCTAAGAAGCACACTCTTCACGAGTAACATTTTATGTCCCATAGTCCAGTCTAATCTTTGTCTGAACAGTTGGCCTCGGGAATGGTTTTAGTTCTGGATTGACAGAGAGTCTGGGGGCCATGCTTTCCAGGGTTCCTCCAGTCTCAGTCAGGCCATTAAGTCTGGTCTTTATACTAGAATTTGAGTTCTGCACCCCACCTTTCTCCTGCTCTGTCAGGGACTCTCTGTTGTGTTCTCTGCCAGGGCAGTCACTGGTGGTAGCCGGGCCCTATGCAGTTCTTCTGGTCTCAGGCTGATGGAGTCTCTGGTTTATGTGGCCCTTTCTGTCTTTTGGGCTAATAGTTTCCTTGTGTCTTTGGTGTTCTTCATTCTCCTTTACTCCAGGTGGGTTGGGACCAATTGATGCATCTTAGATGGCCGCTCGCTAGCTTTTAAGACCCCAGACGCCACTCACCAAAGTAGGATGCAGAACATTTTCTTAATCAACTTTGTTATGCTAATTGACCTAGATGTCCCCTGAAAGCATGGTCCTCAGACCCCCACCCTGCTACTCTGTCCCTCAAAGTGTTTTGTTGTATTTAGGAAACTTCTTAGCTTTGGTTTAGTCCAGTTGTGCTGACTTCGCCTGTAGTGTGCTGTCCTTCCCTTCACCTAAGATAAATTCTTGCCCACTATCTAGTAAGTGAATACCCCTATCCCTCCCTCCCCACCCTCGTAACCATCAAAGAATGTTTTCTTCTACGTTTAAACCTTTTCTCGAGTTCTTATAATAGCGGCCTTTTGCGACCCACTAAATTCATTCAGCATAATGCCATCCAGATTCCTCCATATTATAAAATGTTCAATGGATTCATCGTCATTCTTTATCACTGTGTAGTATTCCGTGGTATGGATATACCATAATTTGTTTATCCATTCGTCCTGTGATGGGCACCTAGGTTGCTTCCATCTTTTTGCTATCATGAACAGTGCTGCAATGAACATG